TATCTAAATTGACAATATATGAAATGATTTGTATAAAATACGAACTTTATATGAAAAATTATTATGAAATGTGAATGTTATATCAAACAAGAATCATATGAAGTTAAATTATAGGAAGTAGAAGTATTAGTGGTAGTATAAGTATTTGTTTTGAAATTAGTTTATTTAATTTTTGTGCACCAACTTTCTTGACTCTCTACCATTTCGTAAGTCTAACTGTCTGTTCTTTTCTTATTTTCTTTTCTTTATCAGATTTTTGATTGCTTAACTAACAACGTTATTTAAAGCTAAGTTATTACTTTAATGCATATCTGTAATGTTCTTCTTGCTCTATATTATTTATTTAATTCCGCTTATGGAAACCTGACAATCAAATAAGGTAATAACCTAAAGTGCCGCATATCCTCAATTCCACGCCTGTATAAACTAAATTATGGAATTACACCTCTAAAATTAATATATATCCTTGTCCGGGTTAACATCACGTAGTAATTCCCTGTTGTTGCGTCGCCCCTTTCACCTGTCAAACGTCGTAGGCCAAAGTACAATGGGGAGCTTAATATGCATGATGTTGCTCGTATTAGTATTTAGTCAGTTTTAATAAGTGTTAACATATGAGATAAAATATAGTGACATAAAAAGTTCCCCGTATTAACATTAATGAATCCAATTCATGTTATTTCAAGTTTTCAGAGGTAGTCAATTAATAAACTGTGTCAGTAAACCTACTATGATAAGTAGCAATAGAGCTCCTTGTGAAAGAGATGATGCTGGGAAGTACTGTCACCATACCTATTTCTGCCGCCAAGGAGTAATGTGAGTACTAGTTCGCGTTTTGCAAGGTAAAGGCGCTGGTGAAATTACAAGCACGTAGGACTTATCAAATAAATCATCGAGTGGTACTGCAAATGTTATGGATATCGTATTCGTATACGTATCGTTTAGCACCATGCACGTGTCTTGCTCGTCTCGTCACTTGATATCATAAAAAACCGAGTTTCTCCTAAGTTTGTATTGATAATGTGTTGTACCATTTTAAACTTTCTATTCCAATTTTTACTACGTTTTAGACGCCTTTTGTTAGATATTTTTTCATTGTATCATTCATGTTTTGCTTTCTTTGTCTATCGTTGGTCTTCTTGATGCATAATTAACTGTTTGAAATTTGTGGAATAGGCTCTTTGAGCACGTTTTATTTTTTTTTTTCTTTTCACTCATGCGCTACAGTCAACTTTATTGCTATGCAGTATTTATTCCCGATTAGTTTTGGGTAAAGAGAAATCAGAAATAAAATAGGTGACCGATGGTTCTTAAGTTACTATAACGTTCGAAATAATAATACATACATACAGTTATAACTCGCACGTAAGATAAAGATACTGAAGGAATTGTAGTAAGTACAATGGACCGGATATTATTACATCTCATCCGGACCGGATACCATTATAACCCCATTTCTATTTATCTAAATCTATTTCAGTCTCATTGTAATGACTTATTTAAGAAACGAAACAAATAAAAAAATTCATGAACTAGTAACGAGTATGTTATTTTGAATCTACGTTAATGAACTAAGTCGTATTTATTTATTTAAATTATCTCTAACAATAGATACAGCGCTAAATCTAAATTATTTGTGGGAAATGAAACAGAGTTCCATATAATTATTCAGGATTCTATTACAGCTTCTGCTTGAGAATGTTCGCTAACGCTCGTGTTACTAGTTGAAGCTATTAGGGAGTCACCACACTTACTGACGCAGAATCGGCTTGAGGCGATCATATTCAACCACACTTGTCGCATTCGGATGCGGAGGAAGCAGATTTGTTGCGGACGTGTGTCGAGCCGCGTCGTACGTGTCAATGCAAAACGCGTAACAATTTTTTTGCTCTTATTACATCGATTGTTATAACGCTTTTTCTTACCGACTTAATGCGATTCCGTGTCGGTAAGTATAGCGACTCTCTTATGTGAAAAAAAGTAGCTTCCTTAGGGAAGCGCAGAATTAGTCGCAGCGGTAACAGCCTCGTGAGTGTCATTGCGTTTAGGTCCTAAGGTTAGTTTTATGAGCAAAGGATCTAACTGCATATTTCTGTATTTTATATACAAAATAAAAAGATATTTGTTTTAAGTGTACTGTTGGTAACCCTTATGAATGAATGTCCGAAATCGATTTTTTTTATTAAATTTGATTTGATTTCAACCCATTTTTCCTGATCTAAATCGCGTGTATTTGTTTTTTTTCAAACAAACCAACGTTTTAGGCTCTTTACAGGACTTATGGTCACGGCTGACTTTTAATTAAATTAATTTATTAGTAAAGAGATTATTTTTCGATTCTTGCATCAAAACTGTCATTTTTCAAAATCAAAATAGAACTCTAATGTTAGCAATGTTTTCAGATTTTCACGATTGCTACGAATTGGAAATAAAAGTATTTTTCCAGATTTAAAATCGTGTGTATTTGTTTTTCCCAAACAAACCAACGTTTCGGATTGTTTACATATTCCATGAGTCAGCCGTGACCATTCATAATTTTAACAATACAATAAAAAAGTGAAATACAAATAATAAAAAAACACGTTAAATGGATCTACGATGCAAGTACTTCAATCTCGCTGATATTCTGCCAATGGGCAAATAAAATAATAATTCAGCCGTTAACTGGACGAAAATGACAATTAAAATACTATTCCAAGTCAACACAACCCACGAGGTATAGTCCCGTTTCTTTCGACACAACAATATCATTCACTATGATGCAATAAGGAAGTCATACCAAAATTAATTTTACAGTTCACAGGCTTAGAACACTTTTCTTCACACTGATCTATTCAGAAACAAATAGATAGTTAGGGGGTCAGGCATCAACTGTACATCAAAAACACGTAATGGTGTCATCAGTTCAAAGGTATTTTGTCTCTCAAATATCCGTTCTGTATATATAAATCACAAACTGTTTACCGATAACCTTCGAAATTTCTTAGAGGTTACATACTTGCATTCGTCGTCAGTAATATAATTCCGTGACACAGTTTCGTGCATGTATTACCCTTATTGAGTATCCTGTTAATATACCCTTTCAGTTCACCAACGCATGAGTTATTGTTCAATAAATTAGACCGAATTCTCGTCAGACTTCGGTATTTGCAAGTACTTTCAAGATGATATGGGTCTTGAACCCTTTGAATACTTGTAAGTACACCTTCGTTAACTTGGAAATTGTAGACGCAACTTAAGTTTACACTGGATGGTATTGAAAGGTCTTTTAAAAGGTTACACACGAGTGTGAAAGTATTATAAACATATTGTGTTAAACCAAAACACTGCAAGTTCCAGTATGTAATTTCATACCAAGTAGAATCTTTCGGCTTATTAAGGCAGAAAAAAAATGTTTTAACTGAAATAGCTTATTTTGCAAAATCAATTATAATGACTAGGTATCATTTTTTAGTATCTAATGTACAAAGTGAGTAAAATGTTTGTAATGTGTTGTTTCTTCTTTCTTTCAAGCTTTTCCAGAATATTCTCAGTACCCTGTTTTTGACGTTACAGTGTATTTATTTAACACAGTTAAGCTAAAAGTATTCATCAGTTAACATTTACATACATTTCTTCGTTTTATCCTGTACCAATAACTCAAGAGGGCTGCTAATCTCCATACTAAGTACTAATCGTAACTCTGAAGAAGGTCGAAATTCCGTCTTAAATCTACACGTCGCTGATCAGTCGCCTGGATGTAATTTATACAATTTGTTAATTTGCATTCGAGCCATATTTACAGAGGTCATTCTATATCCGAAACTGAACCTAAATCACTAAAAAATAAATCGAAAAAAAATTTCGTAAATTCCTATTTAATTAAATTTTTATTGAATTGATATTCAATTATTTTTTGTGAAATTACTCCACTAGTTTGTTATAATTATTAATACAAAGATCGAACACTCAGAAAAACACTCAGAAAAAAATCCTTCGATCCGGTCGGATTCGAACCGACGTCTTCTTGCATACCGTGCCAGACGCTATACCAACTAAGCCACGGAACGAACCAACGGACCTCACGAATTTTTCTATGTGCTTGCGTCGTGTCTTTGTACTTGGTCTTTCAACGACTTTTTAGTCGTAGCGCCATCTATGAGAAATCTATGACAGATATATCACCCCAGTTAGTACCTTTACAGCTACCAGTCCTGGCGAGAGATGTCGCTATTCACTGTATTAATTAAATTTTTATTGAATTGATATTCAATTATTTTTTGTGAAATTACTCCACTAGTTTGTTATAATTATTAATACAAAGATCGAATGTAAATAAATAGCAAATTATTACAATTCTACTACACAATCATATTTAAAAAAATACTTTAATAAGCGATCAAGAAAGATTACGTATCGCCCGGTGAAGCGGGTGGCGGGGTCACTGCCCTTCCGTGGTGTTCGACTTTGAGATAACTTTGCAAAACTTTATAAGATATAATTAGCCAGAATATTGAACAGAATAAGTTTTTGATTATTTTTAGATGATTTAGCATTATTTCTATTATTAATTTCTTAATTATGGTGAGAATGCTAATCGACACACTGTATAATGTAAATGGCCGTGTATATCAATACAAATACCCGATACCCGACTACACTGTCTTGTATCGAGATTAGCAGTCCCCTTGAATTATTGCTCCATGCTCTTAATGTGAATGGCGCATTTTGTTTCAGTGTTTAAAATTCTTGCGTAATTCAGTTCATAGGCGCTTTATCTAAATGAAATATTTAACCTTTTTCGTACGCAATCAAATTTGTATATAATTATATAAAATTTTATTAGGCTTACGACTTAGAGACTCCTACACTAGCGTCTTTCGAGCGTCAGCGTCTTGCGAACGCACGCTTAGCGTGGACACAACTTCCGCGCGGCGGCGACGCAACGCCAACGTAGCGTATACCCAACGTTCGGCACTATTCCACAGTCGCTCAGTGCTAAAAACAGCTAATATACTTACGATAAAGCTGAATCTGCACATTGACTCTCAAAGGCGGGACCAGCAAAGTATTATCAGCAGTACAAGTATACACTGCTTCCAAATACTGTCTGGTCAACCTGGGTATCCTCAACTCGAGGACACTCAATCTGGAGCCATCCTCGACCGGCGACAGTTGAGTGACAACTTTGTCGTCACGCCACCATCGCAGGCGAGGCATTGGTTTGCCTGTTAACAAAAGTAATATTAGATGAAAGATGACGGTCATAAGAATACTTCTTTGTACTTTAAAAGCGTTTTTCTTATCGATGTTGCCCTCCGTATTTCATCTACAGTAAGTTCTTTCCTAGGCCCCTTTTTATACATAACTTTATCTACAGAGATGAAGATGAATCGGTGGAGATTTACTTTATTTTCGAATTACTATTTACGAAGCGATCTAAAATTGCATGATCATTAAAATACAATCAATTCACCTAGATAAAAAACCAAAACTGTATCTTTTAGCGTGACCGAAATAAACAAAAAAGTTTGAGCTCAAACTACTTATTCGGATCTAAAACGCGTATATTTGTTTTTTTTTTAAACAAACCAACGTTTCTGGCCAGTCATTATATGTGTATTCTTTACAGGTCCCGACCTGTAAAGAATACACACGATTTGGATTCGAAAAAGTAGTTGCGTTCCTAAAATATAACAATCGCATAAATTTCAATTTAATTTGTATGATAAATTGACGTCAAACGATACTGAGAAAACAAACCTTTCAAGCAGCAGTATCTATTTAAAATTTAATTTGCCAATTAAATATTCCATAATTCTACACAGGAAAAGAAATATAGCCTTCTATAACGAACCCGAAAATCTCTATAAGTAAAACACACGGTACGTATGTAATTTAGAGATGTGGTATCGGATTCCAAATGGCCAGCGGGACAAAGGTACGAACGTGTTCTCGCTGTAATTTGAAATAGCTTCCCGACCGCAATGTTTGTTTTCTTCAATTAAATGTTTCTTCGGTCCGGAACGTTTGTTGTTTTAAGAAAGAATTTTTAATAGACATTTTTGGAAATTTTTGAAAAAAATTCTTAAATAATATTTAATTGGCATTGTTTAGATATTTTTTCCACCTATCTAGTGATTCTAATTCAAAACATGCTTTACAGCATCGAAACGAAAAACAGTCTTTAAGCTGTAGTAGTGGGATGGTAATAATTATAATGTACTACATATATGTAGTAGTGTATGTAAATAGTATTTTTCTCCTTGTAAAAATACTTAGCTTCGTTGCTAGAATAAGTTTGATGACCAAAAAGAAAAATGAACTTAGAATAGATAATATTTAACCGCTCACGCGATGCCTACCGCAAAATGGCGGCTATTTGGTTTCGCAAATTATAAAAGGATTCAGTTTAAATACAAGTTTTTATAAATAAAAATTATTATTCTGCATTGCTAAATAAATACCCTCCGTACTACAACAAAAACATCTCAAATAAAATGCAGTAATACACCGCAAATCCTGCACTTAAAAAGCACTAATGAAATTTTTGGTGTACTTGGGTAAATATGATAAAATTCCGTTTGAGTGGTTCTAACGTTTACCATGAAATTACTCCTTAAAGTATAGTTTATAAACATTTATATTCAGGGTAAACTAAAAAAACGCTACTTACAGTATGTTTTCAATAAATAAACACCGAAATCACCAGCCCAAACAATAACACACACGATTGTCGTGACGTATTTTTGAAGTTGTTTATTTTTTTTAAATGACAGACCCAGGCATTAAAAACTTTATGGTTTGCTAGAGTAGTTACCGAAATAGCAATTAGTATTAGTTCTTTTACCTGTTATAACTTCGATATCCGATAAATCGGTATAAAAACATCACCGGCACCTTTAGGTGTGGTATGCGTCTACGGCTGGATGTATCGCGTGAGCGGATAAACTCAAGCTATCATATTATTATTTAATTATGTAAAGGCTAAAAAAAATACAATTACAAATCAAACATTTGCACTAAGGAGTTTGATAAACTTAACTGAAACTTTTTTAAGGGAAATATTCAGAAAATAAAATCAATTACTTTTTAGAAGAGGAACCATTTTCAAATCGCAAAAAAATGGGCGTTATATTTTGGTCTGTATGTACACAGAAGCGGTTATTTTTGTAATGACAAGTTCATTCATTAAAATAATATCAGTTAATTAGTTAGATTTATTATAATTCACTCAAACTCGTAATAATAAAGCGCCAAAATAAATTATAAAGCCTCGATTACACTCAATTTACAAGACAACGACAATTGCAAATATGTCCACAAATGACAAAGACAAAAAAGTGTAAGTAAATCCAATACCACGTATAAATTATATTATCTACCAGATTACCTCCACTTACAACACAGGTAAGTTTCAAACTACTATCTTCTACGTAAGGGCCTGCAGCTCCTATTACTTCTTTGTCATTCTCATCGAAGATCTTTGGCTTCTCCGGAAGCTCTGTAACAAAGAAAATCATTTATTAGTACAATCTCCCAATTTCACTGACAATATTATGACTCAAACGCCAAATAAAAATTGGAATTTATTAAGAAGAATATTATTAATATTAAAAATACAATAAGATTCCATAAGAAAGAAAATTAAAGATACCAAATACTCCTTAAGAGCTTGTTATTCCGTTAAGACCGATTTTTTGTTTTTAATTTGACTCCAAACAATGTGATGAGGGTAGGACAATGATGATTAAGTTTACTTTTCTTTCTTTCTTTAATTTTAATATCGAGGTATACATATTTCACATACATTATTAATATAGAGGATATCAGTAGCCCTACTGTTTGTACCGTGGGCGCTGAATGAGGAGGTCCTTCGTCCGATTTCAGGTTGGAACAATTTGGGAAATGAGTTTTCTGAATTGAATCTGGTTTGAATGTTCTGGGTAGACATCTGGCGTGAATTCCATTATTCTGGTACCCATAACACAGGGAATTCTCTTGTACGAGACTAAGTAATTGATGTCATAGATAGATAGAAGTAGGATAATATGATTAAATTTCGTTTTAAAATCTTACGTTCATAGGACTCAGTATTCTAGAACTCATAATAAATTTAAGGCACGTACGGTAGGGTCTTCCCATTATTGTGTTACCCTACATTAAACTTTTTTCCTTCCGGTAGGTATACTGCTGGAATAAAAGGCTTCTGCACTCGTTACGGACACAAATTACTTTGGGCCTAAGGCAATCTTATCACGGTTATTGTGATTTTTTTGGGATAGGACTCTTTATGATTGCGGTCTGAATTTGAATTACTGGTTTAAAACTTTTTATATAATGGAATCGAAATAGTTATTATTGTAATATTTGGTACTTAACGAATTCATAAATTTTAGAAATGAATGACGACGTCGTCATTCATTTCAAACACTTTAATGTTAAAGATAATGGAAATAAAAAACGTTCAAAGTATTGTGAAAATTTAGTAAAAACTAACGCAAATTTTGGAAACGAAAGAAATACTAGAGCCGCGGAATATAAAGACACATGAAAATAGCATAGAAGTACATGATACCTGCAGCGCAGAGATAACAAATTAGTAAAATAAACATCATATAAAATAATCCACAGAAAACTTTCGAAATAAAATCCACTTTTTAAACTCTCGCAATTACTTTTAATCTACTCTCAACCTTAATGGCTCGTAAACTTTGCAATTCACTTAGCTAAATGTTTCTGATGAGAGTTTCGCTTTCATTCGCTTGTAATTTTATAACACAAATTAAGTTTTGTTTTGCTGGTAACTATCAGTTACAAAATATATACACTAGGAATACACAACCCGGGCTCGCACCTCTGAGTTTTTCGGAATTTATGTGAAAAATTTCATTTGAAATTTACCATGAGCTCTTCGTAGGAAAACATCCTGACGAAACTTGCACGTCGTAGAAGGTTTACAACCCTCGGAAAAGTGTAGTCTCCAACCCGCATTGGCCAGTGTGGCGGACTTTGGCCTAAAACCCTCGTCTGAGAAGAAACCCGTACCCATCAATCGAACGCATAAATGGATTGCTCATGATGATGATCATGATTAATGCGCAAACCTATATCTGCTATTAAAAAAATGTGTACGTGCTTGGTTATCTTCATGAGTAAATCCATAATCATCATTTGCAAGATGGACACTGGCTAGATATTCTTTGAAAGTTTACGCTATATTTAGGTAAATATATACTCTAAATGCCAACTAAACCGTATAACTTTTGTGCATAACACAAGCCATTTATATCCATCAACTGAATCTAGTTTTACAGAATGGTAATATATGAAAAGAATTATTATGCCAATAAAGTTCAAACTGGCGTGTGGCCAAAATAGAATATGTGGCCAGCCGGGTGGATAAATTAGCTTTACTTAAACTAGTTTGCAATTGTTAAGCTTATAGATTGTTTAGTACGCCATAGTTTCGTAACGACCTATATTTTGTGACGCTCGTGTATTTTCAATCTGTTTACGCGCGATTATATAATTTACGCGTGTTACAATAGGAGCGACTTTCGAATGATTTTATTGCAGAGTTATTTTATTTTTATCCAATATCGTGTTTTTACTACCATGATATTCATTTATTTGTTATGAAAATACTCCTCTAGTTTGTTATTATTTTTGACACAACAATCGAATAAATACAGAGAAAAAATCGTCTTTTAAAACTTAATACAAAAATTCGCAACAAGCACATAAAGACATTCGTAATTCGACTCGATCCGTGGCTCAATTGGCAGAGCGGTAGCCACGTTGAGGCGACATTCGCTGGTTCGTATCCAGTCGGGTCGAAGGAAATTTTCTTAGTGTATGTTCGTTGTATCAATATATCCAAGCGTTTTCAAATTTTGGGCCTGTGGCGCGAGCTCGTACAAATCGGCGCGGCGGCGTGGCCCGTGATAGCAAAGGAAGTGGCCTTTAAAAAGGAGAAAACAAATACCACTACTTCTTATCGTATTTGTTAAGGGAGAAGAAATGCTGTAATACAGGGTATGAAATATTTTCATTTCCCTATATTAGTAGTGTATTAGTAGTAGTGTGCCTATATTAGTAGATATTAATATACATTGACACAGTTTTTGAAGGGTGATGTCAGTCTGCGTCTAAAAATACCTTATAAATAATCGTTTTTGGGTTACATGGAAGTAAGGATAAGGAAGTATTTGACATATTTATATAATCATCATCATTCCATTTATAGGTCCCACTGCAGGGCACTCCTTACATCTCTTAGGCGAGTATTTAAGTCATAGTTTACCACGCTGGCTCAACGCGGGTTGGGACTTACACGTTTTTCTGAGAGTTGTGAACCTTTTTTGACGTGCAAGTTTCATCACGATGTTCTTTTCTTCTCCAAAAAGCTCGTGGCAAAGTTTAAATTAAGTTTCGCATATAGAGCTGCGAGTACGGAATCGAACCCACGGCCTCTACTTGAGAGGCGGCCGGTCAATGCTATCACGACACATTTGTTTAATGAAAATTTTCTAACTTCTTTACGTTGGAACGGGCACAAATAAAAATACATAATACCACATTAGGCAGGCCATTTTTCGACAGCTGTATTCATGTTAACAAGTTACTTAAAATATGGAAATTTACACATACAGTAATACTTTAAGTACTCGTGTGGTACTAATATTGACGCCCTATTCCTAAAAGGAAAGGAAGGAAAATCAAAACGACTAACAGACAGCTCAATTTGGCAAAAAAAAAGAAACAAGTCTACAAAATTTTATAACTTCGTATGAAACAAGCTACCTACTTAAAACATATAAAATCTGCCGTGAAAAGTATTACCCGGCCGTTATTTTTACACGCCACTTTATGTAAATAAGCTAACCCCGTTACATCTTTATCACTGTATACTGGGGTAAGTAGAATTTTGTCTACTGTGTTGAAAATATTGCCTTTTACACTGAAAGTGTTGACTAGCGTTTTTAAAAGAATTTAAGTCTAAACAGGATTTAAACTATAGGTACATTCAATTGAACATTTACAGTAATTTTTGCAAAGTGATTTTATATGTATAATGTACAAAATAATAATAAAAAAAATATGAACAATATATCGATCCCGAAACAATCTTTTCTAATTTGTTTTGGCTTAGTTTCTAATTACATTATTGTTGCGCAGAGGTTTCTAAGCTTCTTTGTCTCGTCGACCACGAGACTTTTTTTCCTTTTTTCATGGACCTTTCAATATGCATTTTTTACAAATTTATTGACTTCAAATTTGTTTTTGCCTCACTGATGATGATAGTTTAATAGTATAGTCATAAACTTTACAAAAAAACACTGCTAAGTTTTTTATCTAATAACCAAATATCTTACTTCATTGTAAAATGTTTTTAATAGCAGTACCTAGAGCTCCTTGAGAAAGAGTTCGTCCAGGGAAGTACTGCCACTGTACCTATTTGTGCAATCAAGCAGTAACGTGAGCATACTGCGATCCGGTTTTTAAGGGTAAGGTTGCTAATTAAATTACAGACACATGGAACTTGTCAATTTATGTCCCAAATTTTCGAGAATTAAAACTCTTACTGGCACTGCAACTGCTATGGACAAGTGTGTCTCTTGACATCTTTAAAAAAATTTACTTCATATCATATAGTAATTTATACAAAATTTTGATCACAACCTGCCTAAATTCGTTCCACTCTCTTGGACCCACATTAATGTCTCATGCACCCTCTATCTTTTTTCGCTGACATGGGCCACTTGTTGGCTGGAGTAGACCCCTAGGGTTCGATATAGGCCACTTTCGAAATCATCGCAGTCTAGTGATTATAGTACAGGGCGTTACTTAGTTTGAAGCCAGGATGCCGTTCAGTGCAAAATCTTTTGTAGAGAGTCTTGACCCTGTTAAAAAACCCTTCCTGCACGTCACGAACACATCAGGTTTGACACTTAAGCCTTACATTCAACTATATGCCAGTTGCGATTAAAACGGACCAAGCTTTCAACTTTCATGTGCACAAGGAAATAAAAATGACTAATAAATTAATAGATACTAAATTCCCAACTAATGTGAATCTAAAAGAAATTAACGGTCTATATCCTTTATTATCCGGTCCAAAGAAGGTTTTATTCTTTATCTAGCTAGATTATGTAATTTATTACTATCAAAACGAACCATAGTAGTGTTGCGCCACAATATTATTCGACAAAACGATTCTAAGTATAAGAGTTTAATGAAAAGGAGGGGGAAAACGTTTGGTCATCTATTATGTAGTGATGAATTTATATTTATATATATAGATAAAGGGAAGAAAGAGTTACCAAGAATTTTGTACAGTGAACAAATAATAATGTCAAAGTAAACAGCTATTAATTATAATAATAACAAAGCATTCATTTCAAGTATCAATAGACTCATGTGTTAGTATGTATGTGTATATGATGTGTAATTATAATTTTTATTGTTAGTAAAAATTTAAATTGAATTATACGTTTAGAC